TGCAATTTCGTTGGTTAGGTTTTGATCAGTTTTGTTGATGGTGTTGTTTTGGATGGCACCCATCGCAGGTTTCCTTATCCTTCCCCTCAATACCGTTCGTTTGGGTGCACACATTATTGTGACACCATGGCCAGCCCAAGCCAGCTGATAATTGAGATGCCTCAACTCTGGGTAAAAAGAGACTCTGGGTCGGTGGTGCTGTTTGAACGCATCGATGAATGTTGCATCTCCGTGAGAAGGAGCCGACAGAATTCGGCCCCAGCCTCCAGAAACAAATCGTGTAATTCGACAACAAGCTCGCTTATTTTTTCTAAAAATCTTTGCTCAACCTCTCTCTATCAATTATTATAACCTGTATTCTGCCCCCCCCCCTCCTTGTATAATATCTCTCCCCAATATAGGAGTCATTTTGGACCTTTAAGGTGACTCGTCACGGTTTCTGACCCGGTCAAGCTGGCGTGCGATGTATCGTCGATTATGTCAAAAATCTCTGCAGATTTTGAATTTTTACTCTGTAAAGGATGATCTCCCCTGCGCATGAGCCTAATGAATCATTCGAAACCAAAAAATTAGCAACATTTAGAGAAATGAAAGCAGTATCCTGTTTAGAAAAAAAACCTCGCATTCGATACAGTTATCCATTTCTGTCCCATTTCGGGTTCTAACTGTATTCGCGGAGATATCATTGAAGGCCAGATGGATTTTTGGAGTTTCACATCATCCGTCTATACTCGCGTACCCCAGTTTGCATCGTTGAGAAACTGAGGATAGCTCAAGCCTGCTGTATGAAGTTTGAACTGCGTACATTTTGAGTTTAGAATATGATTTCTCCGAATTTAGGTTTCGCAACTTGCGCTCGGTCGTACCCAATAAAATTCGGAGCCTCATGGGGTGTGAGTGGGAACTTCCGCGGTTGAGGAAAACAGGAAAATGGTTCGATCGAGTGGAACCACGCCAGTGGCGTGGCGTGAATTTCGATATATCGATTGCTATGCCATTTATAACCGTGGAGAAGGATCGATAAACAGGGTGTTCGCAGCAAACTCCTTAACAATCGATGTTTTACCATATGTTTAAATAGCATAACAATCGATCCATCGCAATTCACGCCACGCCACTCATCCACGCAGTAACGGGGCAAGTGCGTGGATGGATACCCAGCAAAGGCATTATTCAAGTCACATACTTACCGTCGCACAGTGGATAGAGTCAATCGGAGAGGCCGGACACAATTTTGAAACTTTGAAGTAGAAAAATATTATATTAGTCAGCCTAATTTTATTATTTATGTTAGTAAACGACAATTCATTTTTATTATAATAAAAAAAAACCGAGAGAGGAGAATTCACAATAGAGCATTAGCAATAGAGAAGGAGAGGTAGAATAATATATATATATTAATCATTAGCAATAGAGAAGGAGAGGTAGAATAATATATACATAAAGTAATATAGTTATTAACATTTAACCGTTATTTTTCTTTATATACCTAACTCCGTTCATACAAATCTTTGAAATTATCAAAGTGGTTCCATTAGTTTCCTCGTGAAATTTTCGACTCGGAACACCCCTCACAACGTAAAATGTGACGATATAAACATCAAAATTTGCAGTTGTAGTACAATATTTGGATTGCATTTTGCAAAAAGGAACCAGGAGCATTGCAATGTTGCCAAGATTTGTGCAACTTCTTTTGTCTCGGAAGAAAAACCTGATTATCCACGAACAGTTTCTATTTTACTAGCTAAAAATTGTAAATTTAAGACAAAATTACAATTTATATTTCATATTTTGTCATGGTTTCGGTAATTTTATTGCAAAGGATGAAAATGCACAATCTTAGCAGTTAGCATCATCGCAATTGGATTGCATTTTGCAAAAAGGAACCACTAGCATTGCAATGTTGCTAAGATTGTGCAACTTCTTTTGTCTTGGAGGAAAAAACCGATTATCCATTAATAGTTTCTATTTTACTCGCTACAAACTGTAAATATAAGACAAAAATTACCATCTCAATTTCATAGTTTTTCACAATTTCCGCAATTCTATTGCAAAAGATGAAGTTGCACAATCTTAGCATCATTGCAATGCTAGTGGTTCTTTTTTGCAAAGTCCAATCCAATTCTTCTGGTTCCTTTTTGCAAAATGCAATCCATTTCATGTGCGACTTCTCTGATTGACATGAATCCACTGTGCGTCGGCGCGGCGCGCGTCGCGTCAGACCATCGTCGTCTTTCTCGAATGCGTCAAACTCTCCGAACGCAGGCAGGACCGCAGGCACGTGATGAATACATTAAGCCGGGTCCACACCGGAGACCAGAACTTGCGCGTCATAACGCGACGCCAGGCGTTCCACGGCACTATCGTATTAAATCTTAATTTCAATGCGCATCCAAATTGAGGATATCAAGCACGCAACTATTCGAACTCCGAAGTGGGTTTGTGGTATCACCCGGAATTGAAGGGGAGTCTTAGATTTGCGCCCACGAAGGTTTTGCGTCATCGTTGAATGCGGAACTATTCGAACTCCGGACTAGGTTTGTGGTATCACCTGGAATTGAAGGGAAATCTTAGCTTTGCGCTTGTCTCAATTTACGGACGTTTTTGAACGTTCAGCTAGCGTCGTTTTCAAAATTGCGCTTTGCCCGCGATGTTGAGATGGAAATTGTGTCATATTTTATGTTCATACACAGTTGCCGCTAAAATCGGGCAGACGCCGCGATATTCAGGCGAAAAACGCGTAATTTTTCAACGAGTTTACAAAACCGTTGGAAAAATTGTGTATTTGCCGCAATATTGAGGTGACTATGTCGTAGTTCTCTACTTTATTTAAAAAATCGCTGAAAGGCTGGTGATACTGAGATGCAAATCGGGCGAATTTTGTTGTGATCTACCGAATCTGCTGGATTAATCGCACACTGGAAAGAAAAACACATCGGATCTTGAGTCCAGACTCTTGAAGACATTGACAAGGAAAAATACTCTTGATTCAATCGGATTTTGAATCAAAACGAAATCCGCTTAAATTAAGAGGATTGGTTCTTGATTTAATCTAGATTCTGATTGAATCAAGAGTTCTTTTTCTTGTCGATGTTTTTAAGAGTCTGGACTCTAGATCCAATGTGTTTTTCTTTCCAGTGTGCGATTAATCCAGCAGATTCGGTAAATCACAACAAAATTCGCCCGATTTGCATCTCAGTATCACCATGCAGTTTTCCAATGCATGTTTCTCACGGTATTGAGATGAAACTCGCGTTATTTGTCTCACTTTTTCTCAAAACCGCTGCCCTTGTAGTTAATGCAGGTATTATGCTCGCATCCGTAGAAAAGGATGCCAAGCGCGCAACTATTCGAATCCCGAAGTGGGTTTGTCGTATCACCCGAAATCGAAGGAAAATCTTAGGTATGCGCCCGTCTCAATTTTACTGACGTTTGTGAATGAAGGCATTATGTGCGGTTATGAAGGTGGGTTTTTTAATGCGCGGAAATCAAACGCGCAACTATTCGAACTCTGGAGTAGGTATGTGGTATCCCGCGAAATTGAAGGAGAATCTTAGCTTTGAGCCTGCCTCAATTTACGGACGTTCATGAATGTTTAGCTCGCATTGTATTCAAAATCGGGCGTTTTCCGCGATATTAAGGTAAAAATAGTGTATTTTAGCGTACGTAATATGGCGATTGCGCATTTCCCGCGATCCTGTGGAAGAATGCGTATTTCTCGAGGTACTAGGGTGGAAATCGCGCGATCGAAAATATCCCCCTTGAAATCCAGGAGTGCAACACAAGCAATACGAAGGATCTTGTGTTTTCCATGATTCTCCTACTCTTTCTATTATTATTCTCTTTCACTCTACTTTTCCTCCTGTCCTCCATCATAACCAATTCTGTATTTGTAACACTCTCTCGTTCTCTTTATGAGAGGTGTAATTGGATTCCGATGTTAGGGCACCTCTTAAAAATAAACTGACTACTACTACTACTACTACTATTACTACTACTACTACTACTACTACTACTACCACCACCACTACTGATACTACTAATACCACTACGACCACCACTACCACTACTAGGTACTACTACTACTACTACTACTACTACTACTACTACTACTACTACTACTACTACCACTACTACTACTACTACCACTACCACTACTACTACTACTAATACTAATACTACTACTTCTGTTCAGTGCTATGGCGTGCTTTGCGATGTATTCATCGATCTGCCATTTAAACCCGTGGAAAGGTACCGATAAACAGGGTGATCCTAACGAACAACTTAATAATCGATTCTTTACCACAGCTTCAAATGGGGAATTATCGAAAATCGATCGTTCACGCCTCGCCACTGTCTCTGTTACTATTCCCTTCCGCATTTCCTTCCTGTGGACTGATTGTTGGAATTGATAGACGAAGCGATCGACAAAGAAGAAGACGCGAAAATGTCTTACCTCTTTCCCCTCGCCTATTTCAAACACCCGCTTCCCTCAATAGGATCCCTCCATTTTCTTTTTATCTCCCTCGCTCAGCGATTTGTCTATCAATTTCAACAATTACCTCGCACTCCATTCTTACAAGTGATAGCTTCCTAAATAGAAAGACTCCAGTAGCGTTGACATTCCGTTTCCACTTAGGTCGGTTTTCCAGACCCCTGGTCTCATTGCAGAATCTACAGCTCTTGACAGGGAATCTTGTATTTTTTCGGTGAGATTCGGCAGCCACCTGTCGGACGGTAGCGGGGGCCAGCGGCGCGCGGCGCGGCGTCGGAGATAAGCGTCTATTGTCTTTGTGCATGTGTTTGGATGCGGCGCCCGTGTTTTCGTGTGTGTGTGCGGTCGCGGTCGGTGCAATACACTTTGTCGCGAAGCGGCCTCAGTCGTCGCCGATAACCCCAGTCGATCATCGATCCACGCTTCCGGGTCCGCGCTCCCCTTTCCCCACCCCCCGGGTCTTCCCACCCCCTGGAATTTCGCATCCCCCCGCTATTCCCGAAATTTTCTCGTCGTGTCGGCGTGTGCGTGTTTGTGTCGGTATTTTTTCATCACCGTGTTCGGTTCGGGTATTTTTTTTTATATTTTTCTAGTCTGAATTAGTGTCGTCGCGGTTTCCAGTGTGATTTCTAGTGATTTTTCGCGTGTCGGTAGTTCTCCTGGATCAACTTGTGCCTCAAAGCTGTTGAATCGTATGCTTTTCTCATTTTCGGGGTACCAGTGAATGGGACGATGTGAAGGGAAATCAATATATCTTCATGATTAATCGCCTCAGTGTTGGCTGTCTGAATTGGATCGCTACCACTACCACTAGTTCGACTGTCAATTCGAAGCAAGAACTCCGATTCTGAGCTTAGAGTCATCAGTTTCATCTAATTGAAGCCGTCCTCACGCGACCAAGTTATATCGCACCTACAATTGAAATAGTAAACTGCCCAGGGCAAACTCAGAATCTATTGACGTTCTCTTATCTATAATTCTTTCCTGAAGGTTCGACAGTAAACAATGATCCTCTATTTTATCCTTCCTACATTTAAGATTATGAAACTTCAAGTTCAAAGGTGTGATGAGAAAGATCTCTAATTTTACAATAGATTCGTATAATTAATTTGGCAATTCAATATCTGTAATAAGCTGAAATGCATAATCGTAGATTTATTCTCACGGTAGACTCACTGCACTCCATATCAGTTTTGCTGTGTGCACATGCAAAATTGATTTCAGCCCCTGTACAAACGACTCACTATAATTTATTTATTTTTTTTTTTTTTTTTTTTTTTTTTTTAAGGTAAAACCATTACTTGAACCGTCTAAAAGCTGTAGTAGTTTGTCTACCGAATGATACATTATATCGCGCCTATTTTTTTCTCTTTTCGATTGACGAAATTGTGAATAACATTAGTTAAAATTACATCATTCAAAGATCTCCCGAAAACCATGTAAACTTTAACATCAGGGGTGCAGAATCTTCCAAGTTCCACATTTTCACGCGCCCGCCCGCAGGCTTTCCACAAAATTTCCCACCAATTTAAAAGAAGATGACCTTTTTCTGTTTTTCGTTGACCTTTGACTGCTGACCCTTCAAAATTTTCCCCTCCTTCTACATAATGCGGGCTTTTTCCGGCGGGCGCGAGATCGGGCATTTTCTGCACCCCTGGTTAACATTGGCGAGGCGTTAATGATCGACTATCGATATTTTCTCCATTTGAAGCTAGGCTACAGAATCGATTATAAAGGTGCTTGTTGCGAACAACCTGTTTATCGATCCTTTTTCATAGCTTTTAATGGCAGATAACTCGATATATCGCAAAGCACGCCACTCCACCGGTAATATCCAATTCAAAATTACCAAAATGCGCTCCGTTGCGTCGAAACAGTTGTTTAATATATAATAACACGAAGTTCAGTCGGATTCGGATATGAGGAATAGCAATTACATGCCCTCGATATTGAGTACTACATTTTTGTACGATAGCCTGTGAACATGCAGCTGCAACAAGGTTAGCTCACTTGCGTAATTTGAAGTGCATACTTCTTTCACTCCGATTTCCTGAGGGCCGAGATCGCACCCGCACTTGTTGAATGCTCGAGACAAATTCGAATTTTCCATTCTACTTTTATGCATTCGGCACTTCATTAGCTCGATATCAAAGTAGTGGTTTGAAACTTTATATTTACCACCAACGATGATTTTGAATCGAGCTGTCGAAGGAGCAGGAGATATTTTCTCCAGGTGGAATCCGAAAGCGGATGTGGCAACACCGATTGCATCAGCCAGGGTCGAAGTCCGGCCAAGGTGAAACTGAAATCGATCCGTACTCCCTAGATTGTTTGAATTTTCTATCTTAGACTTTTAGTTGTTCAGTTGAAATCTTGTGATTTTCCCCTGACACGAGGACTGATTTGAATGTTATGAACCGCGCTGTTTGAATACCATGAACTAGAAACCCCATTGTAGCCCGACAATATAGCAGAAACAGTTACCCACTTTTAGATTATTCAAAATCGTCTAACGGTGGAAGAATATTCATCTTTGCTACTTTTTCGTTGGACATACTGCACCAATTCCCCCAACATGTAATCCACCATCTTTTATTTTGATTTTTTTTCCAAAAAAGTCAGAAAAAGCTTTTAGAAATGCCCAAACACCTCGAAACATTACTCATTATCATTAACTTTCCTCTTCTTCTTATGTTTATATATTTTATGAAATCAAAAAAAAAAAAAAAAAAAAAAAAAAAAAAAATCCACTGCTGGCGAGGTCGAAGAAATCGATTTTTTACTATTTGCGTGAATAAAACAGTCAGATTCCCAATAACACGCGTGAAACCGTTCAATAAACGATTAAGATTAGAGTTTTATCTTCAGTGTTCGAGGAGATAGACCTAAGGTGATCGTCTCGTGATTATCCTCGAAAATAACACTAAATTGGGG